TCCCTGAAACCACAGACAGTACAAACACTATAGTGGCCATGAAGGGGTGCTGGCAGCACACACCTACGGGGCCCATGAAGGGTTGCAGGCGGCTCATCCCGACATAGCCCATGAAGGGGCACAGGCAGCTACCCCTACATGGCCCAGGAAAGGGCACAGGCGTGATCTATCTACATGGCCGATGAAGGGGCACAGAAGTGCTGCAAGTGTCAGACCCCGGCAATGCTGATGTAGGGGTACCAAGGCTGTTCTAGAAGGTCAAAAAATATGATTCACGTACTGTAGGCAGCTGTTAGTGATGCGGCCATGAGCATTCATAGTAGGGCTTAGGCACTGTTATACAATCTTAAGATCTGAATACGAAAAATAGACAACCAACCCCTAAGTTATGACCGGGTGAATTTCACAATGGAAGCAATAATGCTAGTATGTGCAACAAGAAATATTTGTCCTTGCATAAGCATCTATCAGAGCAGACAACCATGGATAGTTAACTATAAGATAAAAATAACCTAACTGTAAAGTCAATATCCAACCAATTGTTGATCCAAGACAGATAGGCAATCAAGGAAAGATTAAAAGAAGTAAAAGGAACTCAACGAACACAAACCCCTCCTGTTTACCAATAAAATCACCTCTAGCATTTGTAGTTTTAGAGGCCCTGCCTTCCCAGGGACATTCATGAAATGGCCATGTTATCCTAACTGTGCAAAGGTACTATAATCACTTGTTCCCTAAATAGTGACGCATATGAATGGCCACACGAGGGTTTTACTGTCTCTTCCAATCAGTGAAAGGGACCTTCCCATGAAGAGGCAGGAATAGGACAAGAAGACAAGTAGACCGATGGAGCTGCTTGAAAATGATTTTAGCTTCATTTTTTTGAGAAAGAGAGAAAGATAGAACACACGTGGGGAAGGGGCAGAGAGAGAGAGAGTAAGACACACTATTTAAAGCAGGCTCCATGTTCCGAGCCATCAGCACAGAGGCCAAGCCAGGGTTCACAAACCCACAAACCGTGACACCATGACCTGAACCGAAGTGGGACACTTAATCCACTGAGCAACCCAGGCAGTGCAAAATACATCTGACCTTAAAGGAACATCAATGCAAAATCGCCAATGAAGGGGTACAGAAGGGGCACATATGGGATCCCCTCCTGCCCCCAGGTGGGGGAGAGCACGAGTGACACCCCTTCACGCGGGGAAGACGGTGTAACCACGACCCCCTCCCTTGATGAGGGTCGGTGCATGTGTGAACCCCCTCCTGTCCAAAGGGGGGCGCGCTAATGCCTGAAAACCTTCTGTGCCCAGGGAGGAGGAAGTATGACCTAAGCCTTAACCTACCCCTTATGGCAATGCTAACCTTACCTTAAGAGATGCGTGTTTCTTCAGCTGTGAAAGTGAAAAGAATCATTCGTGAAACGTCATATTTAATAGTGACATCACTACTCTCTCCCTGAAGGTTGGCGCTCTGCATGAGTGACCATCTCACACACCAACCAGGGGCAAGGCAGAATCCTGAACCACCTTTAGCGTCAAGTGGAGTGGGGCGCATGTTTGAATGACCTCCATCGCCTAGGGGTGGTCTGTGCACGTGTGAACACCCTTCCCCGCCGAGGTGAGGCCAAGCACAAACTGTCTCGCTGAGGGAGGATTGTGCACATGTACAAAAGGTCTACCTCACAGAGCGGGAGTTGTGGGCATGCCTGAACACCCTTCTACCAGGAGGGGGGCCTTTGCACATGCGTGAACATCATCCCACACTGAGAGGGTTTGTGCACAAGTGTGAACACCCTTCTGTCCCTAGGGGTGGCAGTGCACGCGATACGGGGGCGGGCGCATAGGTCAACACCCTCCTGTGCCAAAGTGGGTTCGGGGGCATGGGTGAACACACTCCGGTGCCAAAGGGGTACACGCTAATGCTTGGAAACCCGTGTGGGGGTCGGGGGTTGGAAGCTTGATCAAACCCTTACCCAACCCTGGTGGTAATATTAACCCTAAGAGATGCGTGTTTCTTCAGCTGTAAAAGTGAAAAGAACCATTCATGAAACATCACATTTAATAGTGACATCACTACTTCCTCCCTGAGGGGTGGCGCTATGAATGGGTGACGGACTCACATGCTGACAGGGGGCCAGGCGGAAGCCTAAACCACCTCCTGTGCTAAATGAGGTCGGGCGCATGCATGAACGACCTCCCTTACGGAGGTGGGCATTCTGCGCATGCCTGAACAGCCTTCCAGGCCCAGGGGAGTGGGGCGCATGCGCAAATGCCTTCCCTCCATGAGGGGGGTCTGTGCATATGCATGAACACCCGCCAGTAGGGGGTGCTGTGCGAATATGTGTACAGCCTCCTGCGGTAGGGGGCAGGGAGCATGCATGAATGACCTCCCTCACTGAGGGGGGTTGTGCGCATGTGGAAACGTCCTACCTTGGGGAGCAGGAGTTGTGTGAATGCGTGAACACCCTACCACCACTAGGAAGGGCTGTGCACATGTGTGAACAGTCCCCCGCGGTATGGGGAAGGACCCATGCCTGAATGCCATCCCTCCCCTAGCCGGGGTTGTTCCCAAGCGTGAACACACTTCGGCCATGAGGGGTGCTGTGCACATCTATGAACATCCTCCAGCGCTGAGGGCGCGAGGTGCATAGGTCAACATACTCCCATGCCAAAGTGGGGATGGGGCCCTTGCCGAGAGCACATTCGTAAACACCCTCCCTCATGGAAGGGCTGTTGTGCGCATTGTGTGAATGCCGGCCCTCGCTGACCAGGGGCTGTGCGCATGCTTGAACACCCTCCTGTGCCGAGGGGGGCGGGGCGCATGCGTGAACCACCTCCTGTGCTAAAGGGGACGGGCACAGGCATGAAACACCTCCCTTACCAAGTGGAGGTTCTGTGTAAAAGAGAACATCCTTACACCCAAGCTGTGCGCATGCGCAAACACCGGGGTCAGGCGCATGCCCGAACACCCTCCACCCAAGAGTGGCGGGGTGCAGGCATGAATATTCTCCTATGCTGACAGGTCAAGGCCCATAGAGCAACACCCTCCCATGCCAAAGGAGGGGTAGTACACATGGGTGAATGCCCTTCCGCGGGGGGGGGGGGGGGGGGGGGTGGGCTTTACACACAGGTGAAAAAACTCCCGGGCTAGTGGGGCAGGATGCATGCGCAAATGGCCTCCGTCACCGAGGAGGGTGGTGCTTGAGAACACCATTCCACCCCGAGGGAGTGCTGTACGCATCCGTGAACACCCTCACATGCCAAGCGGGGAAGGGAGCATGAGTGAAACACCTCTCTTGCAGAGAGGGGGAGCAAGCATGACCTAACCCTTACCCTGAACCCTAAATGAAATGCTAACCCTAACCCTTACCTTAAGTGATGCGTGCTTCTTCACCTGTGAAAGTGAAAAGACTCATTGATGAAATGTCACATTTAATAGTGACAACACTACTCCCTCTCAGAGGGGTGGTGCTGTTCATGGGTGACACCCTCCCTCGCGGAGGGGGTGGGAGCATGTGTGAACCACCTCCCATGCCGAGGGGGACAGGGTGCATGTGCCAAAGCCCACCCTCACTGTGGGGGGGTTGTGCAAATGTGCGAATTCATGAACGTGCTCCCAAGCAGAAGGGGATGGGGTGCATGTGTGAACACCCTCCTGGGCTGAAGGGGGCAGAACACATTAGTGAATATCCCCTGCGCTGAGGGGCGGTACTATTGCGTGAATACACTCTAGCGGCAAGGGGGTGTGGAAGCATGACCTAACCCTTACCCTAATTCTTAATAGTAATTCTAACCCTAAATCTTACTTAAGAGATGTCTGCTACTTCAGCTGTGAAAGTGAAAAGAACCATTCATGAAACGTCACATTTAATAGTGGCGTCACTATTCCCTCCTTGAAGGGTGGTGCTCTGCATGGATGACTTCCTCCCACACCAAGGAGGGGCTGTGTGCTTGTGTAAACACCCTCCCATACTGAGGTGGGTGGGGCACATGCCTGAACCATCTCCAGTGCGGAGATGCGGTATGCCCATGAGAGAACACCCTCCCGCACCAAGGGGTGGTGGTGCACATGTGTGAACTATCTTCTGTCCTGAAGGGGGGGAACTGCGCATGCGTGAACGCCCTCCCCTGTGGAATTGGAGTGGGCACATGCCTCAATATTTTCCTGCTCTGAGGGGGCAGGGCGGGGAGAAAGGGTGAACACCCACCAGGCTGAAGATGGTGGGGTAATGCGTGAAACACTCCCATGCCGAGGCGGGGAGCAACCATGACCTAACCCTTAGCCTAACCAGTAACTGTAATGGTAATTCTTCCCTTACCTTAAGAGATGCCTGTTTCTTCAGCTGTGAAAGTGAAAACACCCATCCATGAAACGTCAGATTTAATAGTGGCATCGCTACTCCCTCGCTGAGTGGTGATGCTGTGCATGGGTGACCCCCTCCAGTGCCACAGGGGGGCAGAGCACATGCGTGAACCACCTCCCCTGCCAGGAGAGGGGGGTGAGCCCATGAGTGAACACCCTCCCACACCAGAGGGGTGCAGGCGCATATGTCAACACCCTCCCCCCTGAAGGGTCCGGGTCGTATGAGTGAACACCCTCCAGAGGTGTGCCGCCTCTGTGAACGCCCTCCCGTTCCCAGGGAGGGTACAGGCGTGACCTAACCCTTACCCTAACCATGAATAGCAATCCTAACCATGACACTAACCTTAAGAGATGCCTGCTTCTTCAGCTGTGAAAGTGAAAAGAGCCATTCATAAAACAACACATTAAATAGTGGCATCACTACTCCCTCATGGGGTGGGGGGGGTGGGGGGTAGGGTGCATGCGTGAACACCCTTCCACAACAAGGGTGCGGGGGGTCAGGTGTGACCTTCCTTCCTTGCCAAACGGGGGGTGCAAGCATGGCCTAACCCTTACCCTAACCCTCAGGGTAATCCAAACCCTAACCCTCATCATAAGAGATGCTGTTTCTTCAGCTATGAAAGTGAAAAGACCCATTCATGAAATGTCAGATTTAATAGTGGCATCACTACTCCCTCGCTGAGGGGGGAGGGGGGGTCTGGCACATGGATGACCCCTCCCATGCTGAGGGGTGGCAAGGTGCATGAGTGCCTCCCTCCCGCACCTAAGGGGGGATGTAAGTGTGACATAACCTTTACCCTAACCCCTAACTCTAACTCTAACCGTAACCCCAACCCTAACACTAACCTTAACATATATGACTGCTTCTTCAGCTCTGACAGTATAAAAAGGTATTCAGGAAATGTCAGATTTAGTAGTGGCATCACTACTCCCTTGCCAATGTGGGGGGTGCAAGCATGACACCCCTCCATCGCCAATGAGGGGTTCAAGCATTACAACCCTGCATTGCCAAGTAGGTGTATCGAGGCTGTCCTAGAAGGGCGAAAAAATATGATTCACGTACTGTAGGCAGCTGTTAGGGCTGTGGTGATGAGCATTCGTAGTAGGGCTCAGGCATCGGTATATGATCTTAAGAACTGAGTACCAAAAATACACAACCAACTCCTAAGTTACAACTGGGTGAATTTCACAATACAATCAATAATGCTAGTATGTGCAACAAGAAATATTTGCCCTCACATAAGCTCCTGTCAGAGCGGATAACCACGGATGGTTAACAAGAAGATAAAAATAACCTGACTGTAAAGTCAATATCAAACCAATTGTTGACCCGACACAGATAGGCAATCAAGGAAAGATGAAGTGAAAGGAACTCAACGAACACAAACCCCTCCTGTTTACCAATAAAATCACCTCTAGCATTTGTAGTTTTAGAGGCCCGCCTGCCCAGGGACATTTGTGAAATGGCCATGGTATCCTGACCGTGCAAAAGTAGCATAATCACTTGTTCCCTAAATAGTGACGCATATGAATGGCCACAGGAGGGTTTTCCTCTCTCTTCCAGTTGGTGAAATGGACCTTCTTGTGAAGAGGTGGGAATAGGACAAGAAGACCCTATGGAGCTTTAATTCATTGGCTCAAAGAGGCAACATCAATACAACCAATAGGGACAAAAGATCTCTGTATGGGCCAACAATTTAGGTTGGGGTGACCCCGGAGAATAAATTCTCCTCCGAGGCATTTAGATGTACACTTACCAATTGAAAGTACAACCTAACTTCTTGATCCAAAATACTTGACCAACGCCATAGGTACTATACACATACCCTGGCAGAGTTTCCTTTTGGGGGTGGGTGGTTGTTGTGTCCACATTCAGTGCAGGGTTATGAAACAGTGGTGGTGGCAGTGGTGGTGGTGTTTTCTCCTCTTCCATAAAGAGTTCCATGGTGACCATTTTGTGGGAGCCAAGCAGTAGCTAGGCTGCTCCTGGATCCCTCTCTGCTTCGGGTTCCTTGTCAGGCATCATAGCAGTCGCCTAGTGGAAAAAAGGAAAGAAGATGTCACAAGACACTCAGGTAAACAAAGATGTGAATGAAGAACCTCCTGAAATACCATCTGAAGACTATGGGGCAGTGCTACTGTCCACAGTTACAGTCCAGTTTCTGGGAGCATGTGGGATGCGCTAGATGAATGTAGTGATATAGTGGTTGAGAGGTGTCTGGCTTGTAGAAGAAATGCTGCACATCCCCAATGCTGGTTGGGGAAATGTCGTATATTTTGTCAGCTATGTCAAAGATAACAAAAGAACAATGGACAAGACAGACACCTGCTTCTTCAGGAATGAAAGTGAAAAGAACCAACCGGAAATGTCTGATTGAAAATGTTTTTAGGTACACTAATTTTTGAAAGAGACAAAGACAGAACACAAGAGGCATGGGCAGTGAGAGAGAGAGAGATAGTATGTGAAGCAGGCTTCAGATACAGAGCCATCAGTACAAAGGCCACCTAGGGTTCAAAACCCGAAAACAAGAGACCATGACCAGAGACAAATTGGACAAATTGGAGCATGACCTAAACCTTACACGGACCCCTAACATTAACCCTAACCCTAACCCTAACCCTAACCCTAACCCTAACCCTAACCCTAACACTTACCTTGAGAGATACCTGCTTCTTCAGCAGTGAAAGTGAAAAGAGCCATTCATGAAACATCAGATTTAATACAAGCGTCAACACTCCTTCTATAAGAAGTGGCAAGTCGAGATGGGATAACTTCCCAGGAAGAGGGGGAAGAGGGTAAATGCGTGAATGCACCCCAGGCAACAAAGAGAAATGAGGTGGTACTTCAAACATTACCATCCGAAGAGAGGGTGGGGGGGCGGTGTGAAAGACTCCAGAGCCAAGCTGAAATATGGTGACACTTGAACAACTTCAGTGCAGAGAGACTGCGGCGATAGCGTGAACACACTCCATCACAGATGGAGGGCAGTGTCAAGCATGAAAACGATCCGACTTGAGGTGGGTGTGCAAACATGACATACTCCTTGCGGTAGCTCTAACATTAACACAAACCCTAACCCTAACCCTAACCCTAGGCCTAACCCTAACTCTAACCCTAACGTTAAGCCTAACCCTAACCCCTAATTCCTAAACCTAACCCTAAACCTAACCCTAACCCTAACCCTAATCCTAACACTAACCCTAACCCCTAACCCCTAACCCTAATCCTAACCTAACCCTAACGCTAATCCTAACCCTAACCCAACACCAAAATCTAACACCTCAAACTATCACTAACCCCGACACTTCCCCTTGCCCTAACGCTAACTATCCCTAACTAACTATAAACGAAAAACAAAACCCAAACAAACCATAACCTTAATCCTAACTTTCTAACTCTAACCATAAAAACCTAACCCTAACACTATAACTCTACCCTGCTAACCATAAAACTCTAAACCTAACACTAACGCTAACCCTACCCTTAACCCTGTAACACTAACCCTATGCTAACCCTAACCCAAAGCACTAACCCATAACCCTCAACCAAGTCCTAGACCTAGCCTTAAACTTAACCCTAAACCTAAAGCTAACCCTACCACTAATGCTAACACCTAACCCTAACCCTCTAACCCTAACCCTAACTCTCAAACCCTAACCCTAACCAAAACCTAAACACAACTCTCACTCCAAACACTAACCGCTAACTATAACCCTAAACACTAACCATAACCCGAACCCCAACCCTAATGCCTAAACCTAAGTCTAACGTAACCGCTAACACTAACCCTAACTCCTAACCCCAAATCCAATCCCAAACCCTAGCCAAACGCCCAAGACACACAGGTATGGTGTCACTTCAGCACTGGTGAAGTCCCTGGACTGAACATTAACCCTAGTTAATGCTCTCTCTGGATGGGGACCCAATCCTATATCTGAGAACACCCCACACAAAGGGCCCAAAGTAGTGCAGGATTACTCGGCATGGAATGTGGAACATCATCATGACATTTCTAATGCCCGCATGGAGCTGCAAAAGGGGATTGCTGAGGCCCAACTGAAGAGTGGCACACAGGGGAGGCTGGCCCTGGCACTCAAAGACTAAGTCTGAACTGAAGACTCCCATGCAGCCTCCACTCAGCCCTTCATGGAGATTACTGCACTGCTGGGGTTTTACTGCTTGGAACTTCCTGGACCTAACCCTAATACTAACCATGACCCTCACCATACCCTTAACCTAAACCTCACACCAACCCTAACCATAGCCCTACACCTGACACGAATTCACGCATGGGCCCGCACATCACCCATCCAGGGCGATCACGGGACTCATGTCGCTTTGGCTCTATCTACATCACCAGGGGGAACCATAAACTTAACTAAGTCTCTCTCCCAATAAGGACCAAATTCGTAAGTCTGATATCACCATACTTATGGGGCCCAGGAGTGGTGCAGTGTTACCCCATGGAACGAGGAACATCACCAGGTAATTTCCCTAGGTAACAGGGAAGTGCACAAGGGGTTTGCTGAGGCCCAAACGAAGACTGAGGAAACAGGATATTCTTGCTCCCAACATATTCATAATGAACTACCACACACACACACACACACACACACACACACACACACACACACACAATTTGAAAATATTGTTAACAATTTCATCAAAAATGATAAAATATCTAGGAAAAAAAGTTTTGAAGCAATGTGAAAATCCTGTAACATCAAAATTATAGGACATTGATAAAGAAACCGAAGAAAAGACCAACAAATGGAAAAATACTCCATCCTCATGGATTGTAAAGTGTAATCCTCATGGATTAATATTGTAAAACTTTCTATTGCACTCAAAGTAATCTATAGATTGAGTGCAATCATGACCAAAATCCCAAAAGCATTTTTCACAAAACTCGAACAAACAATCCTGATATGTGTATGAATGAAATCACAAAGGACCCTGAATAGCCAAATCCATCTTGAGAAAGAACAAAGCTGGAGACATCACCTTCCTGACTTCAAACCATATTTGGAAGCTGTAGTAAACAAATGTCTTGTATTGAAACAAAAACTGGCACAAGCATCACTATAGCCAAACGAAAAAAACAAAAGAAAACAAAACAAAACACCCACATGTGGTCAATTACTTTGCAAAGTTGGGAAGAACTTTGAAACCAGAATCTAGTAGTGAAAGGACAGTGTCTTCAATAAATAACACTGGAAAAACACAGGCACAAGCAATGAAAGGATATTATGTTACACACACACACACACACACACACACACACACACATTAAAATCCAGGAGACAGTCACAACCCAGCCAATGAGAGACAGTCACATCCCAGTCAATGAGAGACAGTCACAGCTCAGCCAATAAAAGACATTTACAGCCCAGCCAATGAAAGATAGTTGCAATGCAGCCAATGAGAGACAGTCACAGCCCAGCAAATAAGAGACAGTCATAGCTCATCCAATGAGAAGCCACTATAAAAGACCCTCCTCTACTTTGTTCTCAGCACTTGCCTATGGTTTTGCAGTGTCTTGTTCATGTGGTATGGCACTTCTCTGCTATGTCTGAATAAACCTATCTTTTACTGGTAAAATAACTGGCAGTTTTATTTTTAAGGTTAGCAGACCTGATTAATTTTAAGGAACAGCAGACACAAGAAAACCTCTGAAAACCAAGAAGTTGCCCTTTGGAGAGGAACATTTACATTTACAAGGAAAATTTCCATTTGTGCTAGGAAGAGGGGGATGACTCTGAATTTTCAGAAACTCTTATCAATGGAGAAGGCACATTACAACCATACCTGGTTTACTTTGCTTGCCTGATAACCTCCCTTAACTCACTCCCCTCCCCAAACATGTTTTGTCTTTACCAGGTAATGGCCTGTAAGGTGGTGGCTTTAGCCATTTCGGGGCATTACTCAGTTTTCCTGGCTCTCTACCATGTATGCAAGAAAAACCCACATTATTAAACTTCTGCTTTTCCTTCTCCATTTGTCCTTTATTATGGGGGTGGGATGGGAGGCGGGTTGTTAACAAAAGAAATTCCAAATGAGTAAACTTAAAGACCTAACTGGTTTTATTAAATGATTCATGAATCGTGCAGCATCCCATGTAACACATACAAGAGAGCTCTACTGACCTAAACAAAAGAAAGCTTCTTTACAGGCCAAGAGAAGGAATAATAATTAATAAATAAATAAATAATAACAAGGAGAAGAAAAAGAAGGAAAAGAAGGTAGGAAGGAAGGAAGGAAGGAAGGAAGGAAAGGAGGGAGGGAGGAAAGGATGGAGGGCAGAATGAAAGAAGGAAGGGAAGGAGGGAGAAGGAAAGAGGGAGGAAACAAGGAAGAAAGAAAGGAACTTATTGACAAGGAATGCAGTGTTTAGGTAAGGTTGCTCTCCCAACAGGAGTGGACGAGGTCTATCCGTAAATTGCCAACTATAGACCAGGAAACACAACGTTGCCTGGTTACAGGTTGCATTCCTGGGGAATTGAAAACACAGAGTAGGTATTAAGTCTTGGTTTCCTGATTCTGCATAGGTGACCCAGTTTGGCCCTGTGGTTTTCTTCATAATAGGCATATCTACCAAGAACACAGAAAGAAACAGAAAATTATTTTTCCTCCCCTACACATACAATTTAACACATTTCATCAACAGAAATGAACCATGAGTGCATATAAAAGGCATGGATTAATCTTACATATGTATTCTTAGTTGAAAGAATCTATAGTCTGAAAAGGCTACACAAGGCACGACCCTATTTATAGGACATTCTGGAAAAGGCAAAACACAAAGATGATAAACAGATCATGAGGGGTTGAAATATTCCATAGGATACTACAGTGATGGATATCTACCAGTCTGCGTTTTTAAAAACACAAACATTTACAGTCCAAGATTGAATCACAATCTATTAAAATTAGGTTATTTAGGATGTGGGAGTGTTGATGAATGAAGTAGAAATTGTGAAAAATAATCTAACAGTACCAGAAATGTATGAAAAAAACCCACCTCAATGAATGTGGTAGGGCAAAAGATACTGACCTAGATGACTTTGGAAATGAATGAAACCTATGGACTGAAGGCAAATTGTACTATATATAAACCATAGATTCAATTTTATAAAGTTATTTCCTGTGGGGATACTAGCTAACGGCTCTGGAACCACTGTATTTCTTATGTGGAATACAGCAATGAAATAAATAAATGGCAGATGATGTGAGCCAGGTGTTAAAACCACAGACTTGAAAGGTACTCACTAGGAAATTTACTGATTGACCCATTTTGTTTCCTTTAGGATGAGACCCTACCTAAAACAATGCATTCAGGGGCGCCTGGGTGGCGCAGTCGGTTAAGCGTCCGACTTCAGCCAGGTCACGATCTCGCAGTCCGTGAGTTAGAGCCCCGCGTCGGGCTCTGGGCTGATGGCTCAGAGCCTGGAGCCTGTTTCCGATTCTGTGTCTCCCTCTCTCTCTGCCCCTCCCCCGTTCATGCTCTGTCTCTCTCTGTCCCAAAAAAAATAAACGTTAAAAAAAAAAAAATTTAAAACAATGCATTCATTGCTAATAATTTGCTTATTGCATTCCCTCTCTGCTTTTAAAAACCTTTAATTTTCTATAGCCCAATTGGAGCTGCTTTCTATTTGCTAGGTAGGATGCTTCCAGAGTC